GAGATTCTGCACTGCGTCGTTTTTGGTTGTGATTTTGCAGGATATAACTCTTTTTTGGAGGAGAAGAGGGGGAAGCTACGGAAAAAACCTCGATCATCGCACATGGTGTCAAACAGTTCAACTCGAACCCGAAGTCATCTCAATGTCTTTTGTTCCAATCACATCTTTATTAAGTGGAATAGATGGAAACGGATTTTTAACTCACGCCATCAATCTTTATATACGTTGTAAGCAAAAACATCTATATTTTTCCATTTATTTCATCCATCCAATTGACGTATCAACGCTTGACAAACACAAAGTCAAATGCCTAAAATGCCCTTTATGCTAGGGACATGATGAAAATGATATTTATGTCTTTTGCACACATAAGAAACCAAGAGCGAGTCATGTCTAGCCCGCTTTCTACACCTTTTCAGATGGGATAAAAATTATAATTTTTGTCTTATTGACATCATTCTTGTGACACAGTGCAAAGATATATAAGACATCATTCTTGTGACAGAACAATGCATACCAAACACAGTACAATCATATATAAGACATATGTTTCGTGCTATTGTCTTCTAATGGCTACATGGGTTATGCAGATAAGCCACCAATTGAAGAACTTGAGCAGTTTTTAGAGTTTCAGCTTCCGACAAGATGGGCACCAGAGTTTGGTGAGCTTGCAGTGGGTCCCGAGGGTAAACAACATAATGCAGCGTTGCAGTTCAGATTTTTGGGTCCGAAGCTTTATGTTAACACGAATCAGGCATGTTTTTATTAATTACTAGAATCTTGCAAAAAGATAACTTAAGTATCTACAAAAAGTAAACACAATTACAAGGAATGATGGAAAAAATTACCAAAAAAGAAAACTATAATAGTTAAACAAAATTACAACTATAAAAATAACAATGAGGATAAAAAAATAAAAATAAAAATGTTTCATTTTCCTTCATTAAACTCAAAAGGGCGTAATTTGTTCATAAAAAGTAAAATTAACGAGTTATTTGTTCATAAAAAGTAATATATGGAATTCTCGATCTTTTTCAAAATGTATATAGTAATTTTGCTATAAACAGTTATCTTGATATACAAACATTCAAATATGGTTACTTTTTAGTTAATAATTTTTAATTTCTTTTCTATCCTAATAAATCATTTTTTTTTTTGTAAAATATAAACTTCTAATTCAATTTGACAAATAACATTTTTTTGGTAATTTTTATTTAATTAATATTCATACGTATATTTTCTGTTTTATTAAAATGCCAACTAATAAAATACTCACATATTAATTAGTAATAATAATTATATTTAATAAGAAGGAACCTAGGTAGATTCTTTATTTTTTAAACTTGTTATATTTAAGTTGCTAGAAGCAATGTTTTTTACATATACATTTTGATCATCTAAAAATCACATATTTGTATTTAAAATATGTTAATAGTTTTTTTACTAGTATATATTGAAATACTAACTTATTCATTATATTAATACAATATTTATGTGGAAATATTACTTTAAAAAATTATTAATGTTTACAACTTCGTATTAATTTTTTTTTTTTAATACACTCATAAAATATATATAGGTGTTACACCTACTAAGTTATATATAAAATTGTATAACACTAGAAAACATATATGTTTATATATAATTATTAACTATATACAAATTTGTCCCTTTTAAAGCCATGCCTAAAAAACATCATTTTCTAAAGCATAACGTTAGGCTATTTACAACCATGATAGAAATTACAAGAAAACCCGGTCCAAAGATTACCGGTTGAGGACCGGTCCCATTAAAACGTATTTACACCGGTCCAATCTGTAAACGATGGCCCGGTCCAGGTATGAAACTCTGCTTACAGTATGCTGATTCAAATTTTCCGGCGATAAAATCCGCAGGTGGATGTCGGAGATAATCCAGTAACAGGCCTTCGTCTTTATTTAGAAGGAAAACGAAACGACTGTTTAGCGATCCATTTACAGCATCTTTCCTCCATGCCCAAAAGCTTCAAACTCAAATTCGAACCAAACCCCAACTCATCCACAAACCCTAAAGACAAAAGGTACTACGAAAAAGTCCAATGGAAAAGCTTCTCACATATTTACAGTGCTCCGGTGGAATCCGACGACGAACTCTCCATCGTCACTGGCGCCGAGTTCGAAGTTAGCGACTCAGGTTTAAAACGGGTTCTCTTCTTACGCCTCCGGTTCGCAAAAGTGGTGGGGGCGACGGTGGTGAGGCAACCGGAGTGGGACGGGTCACCGGTTTTATCTCAGAAATCCGGGATCGTTTCGACGTTGATTTCGGGTAGGTTTTCGACCGGTCAGAGACCACCGCCGGATCCGAGAGTGGTGAACATGAACTCGGCGTTGCCTGGTGGACCACCGGTGTCGGCTCATGGAAAGAAGCTTTTGAAGTTTGTTGATACGACGGAGTTGACGAGAGGGCCGCAGGATTTGCCGGGATATTGGGTGGTGTCGGGGGGACGGCTGGTGGTTGAAAAGAGTAAGATATCGCTGCGGGTGAAGTTTTCTCTTTTGGCGGTGGTTTCCGGTGATGAGGAAACGTTGGAATGAAGATTGAAGCGTCGTCGTTTCCGGTGGATATGTGGGTTTAGATTTGTTATTTGATTTGTTGGATCCAAAACTTAGATTTTTTTTTTTTTTATTTTTTTATTTTTTTGTGATGTTGTGGTGAATGATGTATAAATTTTGTGTTGTAAATTGCAAAGTAATGCTGTTTTTTAGGATGTTAATTACGATAAATTTGATTTTGGGTGAAAATAATCTTTGAATTTTGTAATTTTTTTTTTGTGATTTAACTTTGTGAATTTAATAAATTGTTACACTTCATTTGTATCTTATTTTATTTTTATTAAATCCATCTCATTTTAAAAAAAAAAAAAAAAAAAATCATTACAATAACATGAGAAAATTACTAGGATGGTCTTATGGTTTAGGGTAGGATGAACAAAAACCGCACTGCAATTAAAATTAACCGTATAAATCGTAACCGTAATAAAAACCAATGGTGAAGTTTTCTGTTTTTCAAAACCCGTAAATTTGCGGTGCGGTGCGGTTATAAGCTTTTAAAAACTGCACCACACCGTGTATATATATATATATATATATATATAATTTTTTTATTAATTATTAATATATTAAATATTAAAAATAAGATAAAATTCATAGATGAAAGAATCATAAAATTATAGAAAACAATAGTATTGATTTAGATAAAGTATTGATTTTTTGTTATTTTTAACTTTAGAAAATGGTGAAACTTAACAATTTTAAAATATTTATTGTTAATTACTAGTGATTTGATGTTTTTAAAATATTAGTTTATGATTTAAATTAATTGTCTTATACCTTATGGTTTTATTATTACAAGTAATATGTTTGAACTCTTAAACATATTTGAACTCTAAACTGCGATTAAAAACCACAAAAAATAATCGCACCAAATTAATGCGGTTAATAACCGAAACAATAAAAAAAACAAAAAACAAAACAAAACCGTACCGCAAAAATAACCGCACCAAACGTTTTTGAAAATGGATTAACCGCATTCGCGGTTATTGGTGAGGTTTTGGTCAATAACCACACTAAACCGCACAATATTCACCCCTAGTTTGAGGTTACTATCACGTTTAGGGCCTGTTTGTTATTATCTGAATGGGACTGAGTCAGCGATTTGGGCTGACTCGGTCAGACGACATATGTTTGATAAGCGGCTTTCTCAATTGCCCATATGATTTGTCACTCAGATTTTCATACCCTCTCTTTTCTTTCTTCCAAATGGGACCTAAAAGTGAAAACATCAAAGAAATTGGCCGCCATCGACAACTCCTTCCATCGTTGTCGTCCCTCCTCCTCAGTCCGGCTGAAAGATCTTCCTTCCGATTCGAGCTCCGGCGAGAAAGACGTCAAAACAGGTACCTTCCTCGTTTTTTTTTCTATGAAATCAGAAAATTGTCTTTTCTTCTCCATCGTTTTTTTTTTTTTTTTTTTTTTTTTTGTCAAAACAGGTACTTCAAAAAAATGTATATGATTTGTGAAATTTGAAATAAGAAATTGGTTTTGAAATTAAAAATTATTCTTAACCGGTTAATATGGAGTTAAATAGTTTGATGTCATCAAAAAAGATTGAACCAAAAAAGTGTTTCTTATTAGTATATATAATATATTCAACGATGACATGAAATCACTAATTTTAGTTTTGATTTACAATTTTTTTTTTATGTTGTTAAATGTCAATTTAAGTATTGAGTTAAATACTATCTTGGTATTATGTTATCAACCTTTATATGAATATAATGTGCAAATAGTGGAATATATAGAATGAAACACTATGATTGATACACAACAAATGTACATAATATTTTTGTTATTAGAAATTAGAATCAATTATAGGTAATCTTTTTTATTTTTTTTTATTTTTTTTTTATAAGCTATGAAATTTCAAATCTTTTTTGTGTATAAGCTATGTTGGCGATATTGTCTTGTGTGTAATTTACATCTTTTATGATAATCTGTATGTTTTTATAATTATTCAACAATTTCATCAATCACTATATATAACAACAGTAAGGTAAAATAGTCATTTTTCATCATTTAGCACATTCAATTAGATGTACAATCAAACAACAGAATTTATCACTTGATCAGAATTTATTACCCAGACATACCTTTCCCGGTCAGCACTTTCTCAATAGCAACTATCAAACGGGACCTTAGTCTCTAATTTAATTTTTTAACTCGGACAATCCATATGTTTGATATTTGTTACCCTTTTGTTCCCTAAGACTAATCCATATGGGTCTATCACCTGTGTTGACAGGCCTGTGTGACATCCCTTTACGTCGTTAAGGAGAGACGAACACCATCCCCATTCAGCACCTCGTTATTTTTGGTTGCCACTACAACACTCCAAAAGGTCTGTTTCTCTCTTGTTTGTCTCTGCTTTTCTTCTTTCTTAACCTCACGATGACGTTTACATAAACAAACACCCCTCCCCCCACCCACCCACCCCTTTCTCTTTGGCGTTGAGATTCAATGCCGATGTGTCAACGTTATACCAGTACCATAGTAGTTTTAGTTAACATTCCTTATAATTTTTACTAAAAGCGTTTAACATTAAAAAAAATGATTTGACTGTAATAACAATTTGTTTTGGTTTTTCTTGTTAAACACGGTTTTTTAAACATCTTATATTATTTTTAAAAAATTGGTGTGAAACTCCCTAGAAAATAAATGCCACGATAACTTTTCTTTTGTTACTTTTTTTTTCTATTACCATTGAAGATGAATTGGGTGGTGAGAATTCTCCAACTTTATAACCTTATAAAAAATCAAGTTACTGACAAATTTTACTCCTTAAAAAAGGTACGCAGACTAACAATTATACGAGTTCATAGTCTTACTCCCTAATTAAATATGGGCTTTTTAGTGCCAACAACTACCAAAAAATTAATGGGGTTGGTGAGGAGACGTTTCAAGAAATAATATTTATATAAATCAAAAAATTAATGAGTTTGATCGAGAGACATTTCAATCAAAAATATTTTTTATCGTGAGAACATTTGAGAACAAATTTGTAACATATAATTTTTTTTAATTAAAATTATAAAATAATATTCATACAAATCAAAAAATAGTTAAAAACAATTAAAAACTCACTAACTAACATCACTCATCACCCAACTAACACCACCACCCATCACTACCTACCACCACCATCACCACCCACCACCATCACCACCCAACCACCACCACCACCCACCTCCACCGCCTGCCACAACCACTACCTACCACCCATCAATATCATCCGCCACCACCAACTACCACCCATCACAAACCACCACTACCCACCCACCAACACCAACCCCTACCTACCAACACCAACCACCACCTTACACCCGCCACCACCACCCACCTCCACCGCCCGCCACAACTAACAACGACCACTACCTACTGCCCATCACCACCACCCGCCACCACCACCCACCATCACCATCACCACCACCACTAACCACAACCCACTACCACCTATCACCAACCACCACCATCACCACCAACCACCACCCACCATCCACCATCAAGAACAACCACCCCCCACCACCATCACCACTCACCACCACCCACCTCCACCACCCATCACCACCGCTTGCCACCACCACCCACAACCACTACCTACCACCCATCACCACCACACACCACCACCACCCACAACCACCCATCACCACCACCCGCCACCACCACCCATCACTAATCACCACCACCAACCACCACCCACCACCACCACCACCAATCACCACCCGCCATCCACCTCCACCACCCATCACCACCACCCTTTATGACCACCAAAAACCACTACCTACCACCCATCACCAACACCACCCATCACTAACCACCACCCGCCACCCCCCACAACAACCACCACCCACCACCACCACCACCACCACCACCACTCGCCACCACCACCCATCACTACCCACTACCACCAACCACCACTATCACCACCCACCATCATCGCCACCCAACTAGCACCACCCGCCGTCACTACCCACTTCCTCTACCCACACCCACACACCACACACCAAAACCATCACCCATCATTATCACCACCACTTGCTACCACCTACCACCACCCATCACCATTTACGTGGGTCGTATTTATTTTCGTGTTTTCGATTTAATAATTGGCATCGTGTATTAAGTCACATGTGATTATATGTATTTAATCACATATGATTACATGGACAATATTTGTTTTCACGTGTTAATTCAATAGTTTTCTAGTGTATTTAATCACATGTGATTATATATATTTAATCACATATGATTCGTATGGAAAATATTTATTCCTGCGTCGATTCAATAATTGTTCTAATATATTTAATCACATGTGATTATATGTATTTAATCACATATGATTTATGTGGACAAGATTCATTATTTCTTTCTCAATTCAATAGTTGTACTCATGTACTTAATCATATGTGATTATATGTATCAAATTGCATATGATTTATATTGATAATATTCATGAGTCAATATTTTTTTCTTATGTATTTAATTATATGTGATTGTATGTATTAATCACATATGACTAATGTGGAAAAAGAAAAACTATTTAATCAAAAACGCGAAAGTGAATCTTGTGTACAGAAATCTTATATGACTAAATGTACAAGAACAACTATTTAACAAGAATTTGAAAATTGATATTATTCATATAAATCATATCTAATTATATACATATAATCTCATGTAATTAAGCATACAAGAACAATAATTGAATGGAGAACGGGAAAATAAATATTTTCCACATAAATTCTATATGATTCGATACATATAATCACATATGATTATATGCATTTAATCACATATGATATATGTGGACAATATTTATCTTTGTGTTCTCGATTCAATAGTTGTTCTTGTGTTTATAATCATATATGATTATATGTATCTGATCACATATGATTTATATAGACATCATTATTTTTTGTTCGTATAAATCATATGTGATTAGATACATATAATCACATAAGATTATATGTATTTAATCA